CGAGAGTTTCGTCAGAATGTTTATCGAGTGAACATCGATAACGCGGAGAAACGGAAAACGCGAGAACATGTTGCGACGTAATAAATCGATGACGGTACCATCGTCATCATGGGAGCTTTCATCATCAGTCGAACTGAGCATCGATCGATTAAGAGTTGGACTAATTAGAAATTTCATCGCACAGATCAACACGCTTCGCGCGCGCACTTATCTCATCGTGAATCATCCTTCCGTGGCGCCCGTTTTAATCATAATGCCGCTACCTGTTTGTTATCGGGTTTTTATCAATGCAAGTTGTCGCGAATGATATAAACCGTGCTCGGTGCACGGTGTACTCCCCCGACGAAGCCAGCGGCGTCACACAACTGCATTTTCGCGTGCGTGTACGCCACGGAAATTCGCGGGAACCGCGCATCCTTCATTTCACGCTGCACGTGAGCGCAGACGAGAGGTCGTTTAAGCGCGACGGCGGCCGAGTTCGCGCGGCGCAGTTCCTCGCGTCGCGGAACGCTCGCCGGGAGCGTTAATGAGGCTTTCGGTCCCTTCGGACGAAAAGAGCGGCAATTAACGGGCGAGAAGGACGGAGCGCAACGTTCACTCCTACTTCGCTTTACTCACGCACGTTATTTGCGCGCGTAAGTCCAGAAGTCCCGATGTCGACCAATCGAAGGGACCAGTCCAGCAACGAGGTCCCGCCAATCGAATCGAGTGGTGCTGAAGCTGGTGGGACAGCGAATAGAGAATACAGAAAGGAAGAAAAAAAGGCTTGATAACTGGACCGAGCCAAGGACCGAGTAGCGCAAGAGTGGAAGGCATTTCCGTTCCAGCGGCCGGCAAAAAAACTCGGGCGTTACTACTCTACCAGTGGGATTAAAACTCGGAAACGCACGTCGTGTCGACAGATCGGCCGATTTCAGGAGTTAGCCAAGCGTGGCGAGTATTTCCCATTTTCTTCTACCAAAGCGCTACGACTGCTCGCGGAAAAATGAAGAAAAAAAAAAAAGGAAAAAAGAAGAAAAAACCGGCGCGCCGACTTTGCTCGGTAACACGCGCGCGCGCGCGCGCGCGTTATATAATGGAAACATTAAAAACGAAGAAACCGAGGAACTCGGGGAAGCCCGCTATTTTTCCTCGATTCCTATCACAGAGAGACTTCATACAACGTCAGTGCGCGGCCCCACTTTTCGATGCCGTTTCGATAAAGCGCGCGCGCGCGCGCGCGGCGCGACAAGCGGCTTGAACGTTCCGAATATGCAAATAAGGTGCGCAATGAGAGACAATGCGTGACGTGGCGCGGTATTTATAAGCCCGGTAAACGTCAAGTACTCCGACAACGAATCCGACGACCCGCGGCCGCGGCTTGATAACGGGCCGTGTAAAAAAGACTTTTACTGCCGACGAGTGCACGTCGCCGGTAAATACGAGATAACTCATCGCACCGCGCTAATAATCCCGCTAAATTTTGCACATTGCTAATGCGCGCGTGCTGCTCGCCCAAGCATAACCCGAGACACCGCCACTTCGCTTTTGACCGCGAGTAGCGCATTATGATATAATATAATCACACACGATGTAACACAGCCTCCCTCTTTGCCTCCTCTTGTTCGTTTCGACAAACGTCGTTCGCGCGCTAGTCGTTCGTCGACGTTTCGGTTTGGCGACTTTGTCGCGTTATCGCTTGTTACTACTCCTCTCGCAGTGTACTTTCGTTCCTTACCTCTCCTTATCTGTCGTTTTACTTTCTTCTCTCGTTTCTTTTCGTTACGCGAGCATTGCTCGCGTGTTTGCGCTCTGTGCTGCGACACAGAACGACGGAGGAGGCGACAAACGAATTCGTCTGTACCAGCGACGACCGTCTCTCCGAGGTCAACACCAGGTCGCTGGAGAGACTCCCGATCCGTCCCGGTCCCGGTCTAAAGAATATAAAACAATATTTGCACGATGGATACTATAATTGACTCAGATTAATCTACATTTACAGTCAAATACACTCAATTATATCACACATTCAAATTGATCTTACATTTCTAGACCGCGAAGCGAATGTTTCTCCCGAGTGAGAAAACACGCATTTTCCTAAACCTGCGGCTCTTCACTGCGGCGAGAGCGATTGTGTGTATTCTGTTTAAATGAAATAATTTAGATTTGATTTTTAGATCCCTCAAATATCTAGTCCGTTATTCTCCGCGAGCATGAAAGTGTAAATCCGTAGGAGGTAAAAAGAGACGCACATGAAAAAATCGTCAAACCAAGACGTGGACGACGGGGAGGAAATCGCTCTTCCGTATTCCCGAGGGAGGATTCCAATTCCCGACAGCAGGAATCCAAGCTTTCCGAGGCTGAAAGGATACTTCCCCCGCCCCCTCCCCGGCTGGTCGCGGAGAAAAGGAGCAAGACCCGGGCAAGACCGGGGCCCTCCAATTCACCGGATATCGCGCGCTATCCGATATTAATACTCGAGCGAGATGAACGCGCGCGTATCTGGCGCGTCGGGGAGCGTGTTCGCTTTTTTGCGCGCAGACGCCTTTTCGTCGTAGGAACGGACTACCGGTCAATTAACGACGTGACACCATAATTGGCGCGGTAATTCGATCCCCTTGCGGCCGGATCCTCCGGGGTAGCTCGCGCGTTTCTGGGCCCCGAGTTAAGCGACCGCGCACACATCGTTAAATTAAAATCCCGAGGCGTTCGCCGGGGCGCGCAACCGACGTGGCCCGCAGCCGGGGCCATCCCCGGCGCTGCCGTCTAATTTGTAGCGCATAATATTCGAATAATTTGCACGCGTTAATGGAACCGGCCGTGGGCTCCTTCGTCGAGCGCGAGGTCCGTGGCGCACGGGAACCACCTTGCAAATATTTGCGCCCAATAACCGCACAAAAAACTGATTCGACCCGATAGGTTAGGTCGGACGGAGCCACCGGAAATCGGAGCGAGCAAACACAAGTCCGGAAAGTCTCGCGTCGCTGGACGCGTCGTTTCCCGACGAATGCTAATTTTAAAGGAGATTCTGTTTTTTATCTTGCCGTTAGAAAGCTGTGTAAATCGATTTATCGTTTTGCGATTGCTTTTACTCGTTCAATATTCCTGCTAGCATTCCTGTGAAGCAAATCTGCACTTTCGGGACGTATCGGGAACAACGAAATTTTAATGCGGTGCGAATATTCGGAGAATATCTGGAGAAGTACGAAGGTACGCGCGATTGGAGAAGTATGAAATTAGTTCTGTTTAGAGCCTCGACGTATTTCGAGTCTTTGAAGACTCGTCGAAGCTCCGACAAAGCGTCAAACAAGCTCGCTGCCTTTCAATCTACCTACGATTTTTAACACGCACGTTTTGTCGTTTACAAAATGGTGCGATCTCGACCGATAAATGAGATCGCAACAGAAATTTCTCGCACATTCTCGAACATTCTCGTGTAATCGCGAATGTATCTTATCGGTGACATATCGAACGTCGGCACGAAGTAATTCCCCCGCGACGAAACGGAGATACGTCTCGCGCGTTATCTCCGAGCCGGACGTTGTTTGTAAATTCGTACGAAGGCCGCGATCGTTCAGTTTCGTCTTTATTACTTCTCTGGAGGTTCGCTTCTTCTGTGCGCGACTTTTGCAACCGAGTGATCCGAGCAACACGTGGCGATACTTTTCGATACGGACGGAACCTCCGGCGCGCGTTCTTCCTCCGCGAGATACTTCCATCTCTCGTTCGGCCCGGCCGACTGTCACTCGACTAATTGGACAAGGATACGATATTGAGCGCGAGTACCGGCCAGACGGATGGATCGCACGTGAAGCGTCTCGGAGGAGATACATAATGTAACGAGCCTTAGTCATCGGCCCGTCACAGGAGTACACACCTCTTCCCCGCGAACGCGGATTTGCAAGCCACATGCCCGATACAGAAACTCATTTTCCTCGTTTCTACGTTTCTATTGCTCTCCGCATGTGTGTGCCTCTCCGCAACGGTTCTTTCCCCGAGCGGCATCTTCGCCGGCGATCAGCGTGAGTTACACAGCGCGCCTTCGGCAAATCCGCCACGAGACAATAGCGTGCGCGCGCCGCGCGCGGTGCTTTACCGCGCGATGAAATTCTGAAAATTCATTCAGATGCGATCACGCGATAGACACTCTCAATTTGTAATTTGCTTTGCTTATCCGCGACACGATCGACCGCATCAGCGACGCGCGTTCCCCTGAAAAAAAAACTTCTATTCTCGTCGGACCTCATTTTCCTTCCTCCCCCTCGCTCTGCCCCCCACACGCGCGTCATTACCGGCTGTCTCGGCTGTCTAATGACTCGGATCCCCGCGAGTCCGGCAAAATGTCATGTACGAAAATATCTACGCTTTCCCATCTTTCCCTGCGCACATAATGAGCTCGGTCCCCCCTTCCTCCCCTCCCCCTCCCCCGGTCTCCAAGAGAGAGAGAGAGAGAGAGAGAGAGAGAGAGACGCGTCTCCCGCGTTCGGTTCTCTCTGCACAGGAAGCAGCGATCGATTCGGTGGTACACCACACGCCGCCCACCCTCTCGGGCCTGTCTCTCGAACGAGCGAGTGTCTGTCTATCGCGTCCGTCGATCGCGGCCGGCACAGGCGACTCCTCGCTCGATCTCACCTCACGATTTTCATCACGTGATCGATCGGGTTCGCGAGGCGGCCCCGGTGAGTTTAATGACACGTGTAATGAAATCGACATGGCCCGCGGGTCCTGAGTCGGCGGCTCGCGCGCTCGCTCGCGCGCTCGCTCGCTCGCTCGCTCGCTCGCTCGCTCACTCGCTCGGTACCTCTCCCCACGCGCGGGGATCGTGCAGCGAGGGTGGCGTGCGCGCAGGTGGGAGGACAGGGAGGACGTACTCCGGCGGACCGGAGGACTACGGTGGGGCTACGGAAGGGGGCTGGAGGCAGCGGTGGCAGGAGGAAGGGAGGTGGGACCGAGCGGCGGTGAGCGAGCGAACGAGCGCGAGAGCGAGAGGACGAGGTGAGTAGTGAGTCCGTGAGCTCGAGTGAGTAACTGGGAGTCGCAACCGGGGGACCCACTCAGTCACCACGAGATCGGCAAGCCGAATGGTCAACCGCGCCGCCGGTGCTTCTTCTTCCTCTCGGAGCGTCCGCAAGCAGTCGAAGGGAGCAATCGGCGAGGGCCCTCGGATGTCATCTCGGGCGCGACGGTCCACCTCGATCCGATCGCGCGAATCGCGCACAGGTGGACGGCCGGTTGTTGCTGCTGTTGCTGCTGCTGCTGCTGCTGCTGCTGCTGCTGCTGCTGCTGTTATTGTTGTTGCCGCGTCGCGTCGCGCCGGTCTCCCGACGGAGAGCAGGCGGCCCGGTCGGACCGCGCGGGGTCTGAGTCTCGTGAGCACACGGACGATGTGGAGATTCCTGGTGCGCTGTTATGTCACTCTGACGTCCATCTGACGCGCAGCAGTTTGCCACACCGCCGGTGCGCACGGTGTCTCTTTCTCTCCTCCCTCCTCCTTCCTCTCTGTCTCTCCCGCACGCTCTCGAGCGCGTCTCCCCGCGACGTATACTCCGCTGTTCGTGATACTCGGCTGTTGGGTGTCAGCGGCGACTCCGGACGAGCGGACGGACGACGGTCGCCTTCTTCTGCGGCGGCCTTAGCCGGGTGAGCCGGGAGAGGCCGATCTACGAGGCGGTGGGATCGCGCGAGCGAGCGAGAGTGGATGCGAGCGGAAGCTGTCGCCCGGAGCAGCCGAGGACTCTCCTGCAGGAGGACGAGGAAGAGATGATCTTCGAGCTGCTGGTGGCCGGAGCGTTCGCCCTCGCCACACTAAGGCGGTGTGTGTACATTGCTGAATTCTATCCACTTTCTCTAACGCATATTTAGCTGTCTATCTATAGATGTATTGCGCTTCGCTATGCGCCGTCATCCTCGTCGGTATCGTCGTCGTCGTCGCTCCGCGAGCGGGAGGTATTCGTCGCGCAAACACGAAAACGGGTCGCGGATGTGCGCTGCACGCGCGCGTGTCACTCGGCGTCGCTCCTCTCGCGGCTTATTTGCGCATCTCGCTGCCGGCGTTGACGTCTCCGCGGCGCGGCGCGGCACGGCGGGGCCTCATCGCACTTTCGGCGAAATCGAAAACGCCGCGCGCGCGCGCGGCGACAACCCGCGACGAGAATCCGCGAGAAGAGCGACGCCGAGAGTCTTGCGCCGTCTTGCGCGGCCGCGCGCCGCGCCGCTCTTTGTCGACCTGATCGATCGCGCCGGATGGGGATTAGTGATCCCGTGCCGCGAGAGCGACGCTCCGGAAAAGGTGGTCGCGCCGCGTTTTGCCGGGAAAATCATCGAGCGCGGGATTTTCTCGCTCGGCTGCACCTGCGGTTCACGCGCGCGCGCGCGCGCGCGCGACTGTTCGAAAGACTCGCGACGCGCACACTCGTGCTAGCTTCCGGTTTCGATTTTTCCGCGACTGTCGAAACGCATTTCTTCGGGATCCGGAGGATCGCTGCTCGGAGCACGCCGCTGTTCTCTCGTCTCGTCTCCGAGCGGGAGCGATTCTGCCGGAGAGAACATCCTCGGCCTAGCGAATCCCAGTACCCGTGGAGAAAGAACACAAGGCCGTCTTCTTGCATCGCAATTGCAATTGTACGATAAACGTCAAGTATGTACGACGTTTGAATAATTTACTCTCGCGTAAAGCGTTATTATTATCTCGCAGCCGCAATCGCGCGATCCGCGCGATTCATCTGCCGGAGTCTGTGTCAATTGGAAACCGCGGCTCTCTAAATTGGACTGCGCGCCAATCTTATTCCGCTCATTTGCAATCTCCCGGCGGTATTGACTGGCGGAACGTTTGATTTACACGTTCGACACAGCTCGAAGAATATCACGCGAGTAATTTTCTAAGGTATTACATAGACGTTACGCGCAAATTTATATTTTTGTATCTTTCTTTTTTTAAGCTTAATATTTTAAGCTCGTGCATTTTTCTCGCGACATCTATTGCCGAAATGCGCGTCAGTTATTGCCGTGATTGATTTTTAAGATAACTATATATTATATTGACAATGTGGATAATTCTACGCGATCTCACGTCGCCAATTTCGAGAGAGTCGCGCGGGACGCAGAGATATTTCTTTTTCTCTCCACTGTGAGAATTACTCGGCATAGCGACTCGGTGAGTCGTTATACTAATTTAATCTCGCGCTCAGGCGACGGATAAATTTAAGCTCTACTTTCTGGCGATAACAATACGCGCGTTTCTCACGTAATGCTGAAAGACTGATACCTGAAAGATTTATAGTCCCGTTGTTTGCGATAATGACACAACCATTCATCCCACGCGCATTTCGCCTCATTTGTAGTCGTAATCACGCGCGCTTCTTCGAGACGCTGCGTGTTGACATTCGTTTCTTCTTTCTCTCCCGCGTTACTTATTTATATACTTACGTATACTTGAGGAAAATAAGTTCCGCCCGACTCTACCCTCGTATCGATCGGAAGATCGCGATCTCGACGTTATCGCGCGATATTCCGCGCGTGCTCGACAAATATTTATCTGCTAATTAGTGACTAAGCGACTAACTGAGTCAGTACGCTAGATTAGGTTGCTCGCGTGTTTATTTGGCTTCGGTCCTGGAATTGCTGCGTAAGAAGATAGATATCAATAGCCGAACACTCTCTCGCTCTCTCTCTCTCTCTCTCTCTCTCTTTCCCCTTTTCTCTCTGCTCCCCTCTCTTTTACGAGCTCCTCATCAACACTCCAACATTTATCGGTTCGTTGGACTCTCCGCGCACGCAGAAATTTAACATTTGCCGCTCGGTTTGCTGCCTATAAATAAACTGTTGGACAAATAGTCGAACTCGAAGAGAGTCCAGTCACTGATATCATTTCACGCGAAGTATCAGCCATCAAGAGGCAAATCTAGAAATTCGTGTCGTTGGTCATCATCTCTAGCGCATTCTCCTATTTTGGTGCGCGCGATCTTAACCGCGATGACTAATTTGTCCGACCGCGTCTATTCATCAATCTCATCCATTTTCCGCAGATTAAGGACGGTTTGTCTCGACCGCGACGATATATACCGCTGTGACGCGGTTCCGCGTCACCGCCGCTTTCGAGTCAGTCTTGCTCGTTGCTATCCACCTAATCCGTCATGTTCATGTAGATTTTCAGCTCGTATAAATAATCGCTCCAATTTATTCGCGATCGGTTCGCTGCAATTACACTGCGCTTTATTCATAACAACTTCGCAATGCTTAGCCGACAGCAAATGCAGCATTTTCCGAGCACGTGGTGAACGCTGGGCTCTAGACAAGATACGAGAAAAAGCGGTGTACTCTTTCGCAAAAGTGAATAAATCTCTCACGGAAATAAATATTATTAACGAATAAGATAAAAGTACACCAATGCCGGGGCACGTACCTAACAATTCTCATTTCTTTAGTCTTTGAAGATGAATACGTAAACTTTCAACTGAATATTCATTCAATATTTGAATATATATCTCATGTTGAAAGTTTAAATAAATCTGAAAAACTGATGTATGGGCAATTAATTAAGTTTATTTAAGTGATGCAATTAAAAAATAAGACAACAATATAATGACATATTACTGTATTATTTAAATAAATTTCATCGGTCGCCCGTACATCGACTGTGGCTTTTTTGGCGATTGGATTTCTTGCTAATTGTTATATCGAAGCCATATTATGAAAAATTATCAATTAAATGTTCTAATTCAAAGGCCAAGACAACAAGAGTGCCAAGAGTCAGCTATTGGTACTTTTGCTTCACTTTTCCTTTCGCTGTACTCGCAAAACAGACGCAAAGCGTTCATTCGTTGCGTAATTCCACCCTGAAATCGCGCCCGTCAAAGGGTAACTTTAATTCCGACGCGACAAATTCGGACTCGTCACCGAGCCGTCTTCGTTCTCCATCTCCTCCCCCTCGTCTTCTCCTCTTCCTCCTCCTTCTCCTCCTGCTCTCTATGGAAGGTACGGCCGCCGATAGAGACGCGCGTCGTGTTGATACGGGACACACACGGACTGTTTGCTCGGGTACCATCGCGGACCCTTTTTTTTTCGTGTAGGCCCCGACTCGAGTCACAACACTAGTAAAGTTACAAAAGCCGAAGGCAAACAGATCCGGGGACGGGCCTTAACCGGTTTATTAAACACTCGCGCGCCCCGGAGGTGGTCCCCATCGTTGCTGAAAGTAGCGACGATGCGGCCAGAGGCGTACAAGAACGACGACGACGACGACGACGACGACGACGACGACGACGACAACGTCGACGTCGTCGATGTCGATGTCGACGTCGACGTCGTCGTCGTCGCCATCGTCGTCGTCGTCGTCGCCGCCGCCGCTCGGTCGTCTTCCGGAGCACCCAGGCGTGTACCTCGTGCGTGCGTGCGTGCGTGCGTGCGTGCGTGCGTGCGTGCGTGCGTGCGTGCGTGCGTGCGTGCGAGCGTGCGAGCGTGCGTATGTGCGCACGTACGCAGGTACGTTCGTTCTCACCGTGGCACCACCTCGCCGAGAGGGCCAACAGAGGAGCTCACTGCTCCTCTCGTACGTACGTGCGAGACGAAAGCGATCGCCTTCAAGGAGGTGGGAAGGAAGGAAGGAACGGACGAAGGAGGAGTCAAACAACGCTCAGGCAAACCTTCCTCTCTTTTGTCAGGTCGAGCCGACCCGCCGGGAAACGGCTTTAGATTCCGGCAACCGCAAGGTTTTCATTTCGACCCGGTTATAATCATTATGAGGCATTAATTCCCCGTCGACGGGCGGACGCGCTCGCGCGAGCGCGCTTCAACGTTCTCTCCGATTTTAATCGCCGGCAATTCCGAAATTACCGATCTTTCCAGAGAACATCGGCTGTCATCCTTTTTCTTTCCTTCCTCTTCGCCCCGACTCGACTCTCTTTGCTACCTAACGTCAGTCTTCGAGAGACGCGTATAATATACATATACGCCGGTCTTCCTCTCTCACGGGGTAGTCTGCGCAGCAGACGGACTTTCGACCCGGTGCATCGACGTGGTGGAATTTTCGTACGTCCCTTAGTGTCACCGAATGACTTACGTCCCACGACAGAAATAAAAGGAGAGAGAGAGAGAGAGAGAGAGAGAGAGAGAGAGAGAGAGAGAGAGAGAGAGAGAGAGAGAGAGAGAGAAAAAGACAGGGCTCGCGGGGAGAGAGTGACTCGGACGCGCTCTGGGTTGTGGTTTTGGGTTCAGCAGGGTTCACTGGACATATTATGGGACAGGCGGGCACTCCAGCGTGAAATGAAAATATTATGCCAGCGCTCAGACTGCCGCACAACGCATGACACATCGAGGAATCGCTGTATGCGCGCGTCTCGAAAGTCCTGGATGCAGTGCTTTCCCGCGGGAGAGGACGACGGTTTTTCCGCGGCGAGAGTCGCCTTTCACGAATAGATCACGCCGAGTGCCGGCTAAACGCCGATGCTCGCTATCGAGATTCGATCTGAGATAACATAGTCGCACAATACAATAATAATTCTCCCTTATAACGCTAAACGCTGGTCTAATGACAGGAGTTATGATCCGTAGCTGTCTTTGTTCCTCTCCTCCCTCTCCCCCGTTGATTGTTTAGACGGTACGATACTAATGCGCCGATTATAATGCCGCGAGTGCTCGCCAACCGAGGGATTGAATTATGCGGGGGAAATAGTTAAAGCGAATGTGCCAATTAGTGTCAGCGTCCCGATTTGTGACCATTGCGTCCGCTTTCCTCAATAAATCAACTAATTCGTGTCCATATTCAGCCTAAACACATGTTCTCACTCTAAATTTTGCGTATTATCGCTTAAAACAA